ATTCAGAGTTTACGTGTTTACGGGTGAAAGACATTACCTCGCATTTTGTTAAGTTCAGTTTCATAAGCCACTTGTCGCACCAGTTACAAATATGGTTGTGATCTGCTTGAATGGTTAAGTGGTCATTACTGGAGTTTATAGAACGGTATAATATACAATCGTCGGCAAATAGACGCATGCAAGAAGTAATCTCGGAGGGTAAGTCATTAATGTAGATTAAAAATAGTAAGGGCCCAAGGACGCTGCCTTGCGGTACGCTTGAACTAACAAAAGAAAAAGGGGACGCAAGATTGTTAACAACAGTGAACTGCTGTCGAAAAGAAATGAAGTTTCGAATTCAGTTTAATGTTAAGAATCAAGTCGTAGAGCAGATAGCTTAGAGATTAGTCGGCAATGGGGCACACGATCAAAGGCTTTAGAAAAGTCAAGAAAGATACAGTCCGTTTGAAGGTTGCTGTTCATGTTTGAGTGTAAATCGGTGGTGAATTCAAACAGTTGTGTGTCACATGAAAATCCCTTTCTAAAACCATGCTGATTAGGAAAGAAAAAATTGTTCGTCTCGAGGTGATTGTACACGTGTGAACTGATTATGTGCTCAAGCATTTTGCAGCATATGCAAGTTAAAGATATGGGTCGATAGTTGTCAGGCGAGTGAACATCTCCAGTTTTGTGAATAAGTTTTATCTTTCCTATTAACCAGTCGTCCGGTAGCATGCCAGATGTTAGAGATCGGTCAAAGATTTGGCATAATATTTTGCTTGATATGGGGAGGGTGTTCTTTAGTATCTTGGAATTAATGTTGTCAATACCGGCTGATGTGGATAATTTTAGGTTGTTAATGAGTGATCCAATGCCTCCAACAGTGACAGTAATGGGTTCCATATAGGCGGCGTCAAGTTCAGGAAAAGTAGGCACATTGGAAGAATCTTCCTGAGTGAAAACAGATGAGAAGGACCTGTTGAAAACAGAGGGGCAATCGGCGATAGGAATAGGTATTTTGTCAGTTTCATGTAAAGTAATAGTGTTAGTATCTCTGACCGGAGATATAGTTTGCCAAAATTTTTTGGGATTAGACTGAAGCAGGGAAGGTAGGTCTTGCGAGTAATATTTATCTTTAAAGAGGTTATTGCTGAGCAGTAGGTTTTCAAACAGTGTTTGTATGCCTGCCATGCCCCATCAGTGCGCAAGCGTTTAGCCCTGTTGTACAACCGTTTCTTCTTGTTTCGTAGTTTGCTAAGGGACTTGCTGAACCAGGGGCTTAATTTATCGTTGGTTATGGACACTAAGGGAACATTCTGATCGACTAGCGCTGTTAATTTATCTCTGTAGAGTACCCAGTTTTCATTTACGGATCGACAAATGAAAGTAGGTAGTAACTCTTTGAAAAAAAATTGTTCTAGTTCTGTGTTAATGGCAGCGTAATTTCATCTATTGTAATCGCGAATTCGTTTTGTTGTTTTGCCAGATACGGGCTTCGGGATGCTTAAATTAAGTTGGAGGAGGTTATGGTCACTAAAACCGCTCACATTTGAAATTGAAAGTATTGTGTCAGGAGCGTTGGTGAATACCAAGTCCAGGATATATGAAGCACGGGTGGGTTCTTTGACAACTTGGAACAGGTTGAAATCCAACGTTAGATTTATTAGTTCTAGAGACGCTTGACATGAGGATGACGTGTGTTCCCAGTCGATAAGAGGAAAATTAAAGTCGCCAAGAAGATATACATGGTTAGATGGGCATGACTGAATGGCATGAGAGATGCTATTACGCAAGTCGCCCAAAAAGGAATGATCAGAATCTGGTGCACGGTAACAAGCCCCAATTAATACCACACTAGATGACATAGACAAAGCTGCCCATACAATTTCGACGGAAGATTTCGAATCAATCCAATGCGAGTGAAGCGTTTTCTTAATAGCAAGGAGTACGCCGCCACCGCGCCTATTTACGCGGTCGTTCCTATAAATTTTGTAAAGGTGGTTGTGAGGTAGTACTTCGTTATCTCTTATATCTGGATTCAACCATGTCTCCGTTAGTACTACTATATCTGAATCGCTATCATCAAGAAAAGAACAAAACGTGTCACGTTTGTGTAACAAGCTTCGGATGTTCGTGTACGCGACCGAGAGTGGAAAGGCTGCTTGGGGCACAAGATGCGTCGCGTGCGAGTTTAAGCTTACAACTAGCTATCTGGAAGATTGAGCAACTGTGTCATTAACGGCGCATTCACACATATACCTTCTTATCCAAGTGAAGCTTGTCAAGGACCAGCTTGTACGGCTGGTCGAATGATCTGGCAAAAGCGACCAACTTTCTTCTGGCCACACGTGTTGATGGCGCAAAGTCTTCCCCAATCGAAAAAGTCGTTCCCTTAAGCTTACGAGCTGCAGACAAGATGCTCTGTTTGTCCCTGAATGAAGATAATTTTGCTATAATGGGCCGTTTTTTTTCAATGGAAAATTTGCCCAGGCGGTGTACACGTTCATACTGCACACTTGTAGTGGCAAGTTCGAGTTTTTCTGCGCAGAATTTGATGACCTTTTCTTCAGACGCTGCCCAATTTTCTTTTTCGTCGTCCTCTAAACCGAAAAATATCACGTTGGAACGTCTTAATCTCTTTTCTGCATCGTCGCATCTGGAAGTTATTTGTTGTAGCTGACTTGAGATATCATGCAAGGCATTTTGAGAAGGAACTACTTCAGGGGAAGCTGGATCGATTGCACCGGTTTCAAGAGCAGTTACTTTCGCTATAAGATTCTGGATTTTTCCATTAGTAGTTGCTTGTTCCGCCTTAATACCCTGAAGTTCAAGCAAAACAGACTTCAGTTCAGTACGCAGTTTCTCAATTGCCCCCAACGCCGATTCGAAGGCAACACCCTCTGCCTTACTCATCGGGCCGGGGTTCGATTCAACATCGCCCGCCAGCAAGAGCAGCAAGTGAACAAGGGAAGAAGATATGCATAATGAACAATTCAAGATATGTTTTTTAACGCAAGACAACTCTAATGGGCACGACACCGCAATAAGGCAGTAATTGTTCGTTTTGTAACACACGGCATGGTTCAAGTAACTAACCTGGAAGAAGATCATTTGTGAGCAGCGCATGGCGGAAGCAGTGCCGTGCCCGATGGTGTTGGCGGCTGGCTCCAATTTATGCTTTGCTCCGCTCGCGTCACCGGTAAACATGCCCAATCCGAGTTGCCAGGCGTTGGAAGCGGATGCATCCAGACCTGGCGGGGATCCGAGCAGGACCGGACTAAGCGGTGGTGGCTCGTCGAAGTGCAGCGGGAAAAAGCCAGGCAGCCAAGAGTGTACGGTCCATAACAGTGTGGCCTGGAAGAAGATCATTTGTGAGCAGCGCATGGCGGAAGCAGTGCCGTGCCTCTGAACAATTCAAGATATGTTTTTTAACGCAAGACAACTCTAATGGGCACGACACCGCAATAAGGCAGTAATTGTTCGTTTTGTAACACACGGCATGGTTCAAGTAACTAACCTCATCAAGATGTTTCCGATTCCCTTTAGAGGAATGAGAGCAGTCCGAAGGGACAGTGCACTGTGAAAGCATTGTTACTGTTAAAAGCAGAACTGTGTACAGCGTAAAGAACGTCGAGGTTGTAGAATAAGCTTTCGGTGGAATTTCACAGGAGTACCGTTTTTTTTTTCCATTTGTTCAGCCACTTGTTGCTCTTGCAGGGCGGAATTTCACAAAGGTACCTTTTTTTTTCGATTTGTTCAACCACGAGTTGTTCTTCCAGACTGGCATGTACCTGTGGCTTGCATCTTGTTCGATTGAGAATGTAGAAATGTTGATATGGTGAGTGTCAGTAATTGTTTAAAAGGATGGAAGAGAAAGATAGCGAAATCAGTATAAGTAAATTAGCCTCCGAATGGGCTGAACACCACTTGTTTGTTGAGAAAATGCTGGTAGTGTCTCCTTTTTCAAGTTTCTGCATCAGCTTGTGAATGTGTTACAGGTTTTTTTGTTTTTTGCATGAGCCAGCACTATTTCTTATTAGTATTAGAGTATTACTTTATTTTTCATGGAAGAGGGAGGCTTGACATCTCAAAATTTAAAGAAATTAACCTATTATCCAGTTACAGTGGTTTGGCATGAAATTCAAAGTTGAAATCATGGCCTTTATTTTTTTCTTTGAGTAATGAATCTATAATTGCGAAGTTGCCTAATGGTCTGCCATTGAAATAATGCGATTCCAAAGAAAAGGAATGTATGTATTGCTGGTGCTTTAGATTTAGGAACTACGATTGAGCTTTTTCTTGAAGGTGCAGTTGGTTAATAAACCTGAAGAAGGCATCATACTAAGACTGCAATTAAAAAAAATTATGAATTATGATAGACTTCTCAGTTTGCACTACATTTTTTTTTAACAGTAAGGCTCCCCATTTCTTCTTTCTGCAATTTACTCTCACACATTCACTGCATGTGTGAAACCGAAAGATGATTAAACTGAATTTGGAAACCTTAAGTGGTCTGTATGCTTTGCACACTTAATATGGACAATGAGGACATGCCTGTCATCTCAAAAAATTTCCGACCCGAAGGTTGCGAGATTGATTTTTGGCTGCGGGGGCCTTGCATCAAAGGAGGCGAAGTGCTTGTGGCCTGTGTATTTAGATTTAGGTGGGAGTTACTAGGAGGTTAAAATTTTCGCAGCACCTCCTACTGCAGTACAAAGTAAGCGTCCCAAGGCTGAAAGCAGCCGCAACAGATGTGAACCTAAACCTCCTCAGTGAAGCCTGGGAGGCTGCGATCTCCCAGTCGGACCTGGTGGACCAGCGTCAGCTCGTCGATCTAGGCAGGGGGCGGTCCAGGCTAGAGGGTTCTTGCAATGAGAGATATTTCCACCTACACACAAACATGACACAACAAATGCTTTTTCTCTCTCTCTCACTCACTACGGTGACGCTCGTAACGATAACCTGGTTTAGGGCATAAAACGTTAACAATTATGGTTATCACACATCAACTTTCTTTGCAGGTCATCAACAATGCCACTGAGGTCCCACCATCACAGCGACCCAAGGCACAAAAGGGCAACTGGAGGGCCAGATACTTCAATGGCTTTCGACCTGGCCGTAGGCCACGGCAAAACTACGATTGGCGAAGCCCATGGCATCCTGGACAAGAGCCGCGGGGTTGCCAAGGCCAGCCTGAGCATAATATTCGGAATGACAACTTTTCGCAAGATCGTTCAGATAAAGGGCCAGATTTTTTATCGCACAGAGGTGGCCATCGGGGAGTGTTCTTCTGAGTACCTGGTGATGCCTCGGGATGCGTTGCAATAGCCTGCCATAGGATGTTACTGTTCTTTTTAATGGTTATCAGTAAATGAACGACAAAGCTTGGTGTTGCACTTTTGTTTATCTCGTGCACATTTTCTGAGCACACCCTCAAGCCTGAATATAATTTTGGCGTGACATCAGTACAAGAAAAGCAAATAACGATGTACGTCACAGTGAAAGATCAGTTTTGGGAACATCTAAATCGTCAGTATTCTCAACAGCAGTGCTTTACTTATCGAGAGATAAAGGTAAATGTTCGGCACCATACTCCCCACGAGTGGGACACTTTGGAATGGTCTTGTTGTCAAGAGACCAGAGTAACTACTAGTAATCAAATTAGTACCAATAAAAAAAGAAAATTCCTTCCATTAAAACACATAATAAAATGCTGCTTGTCCATTTCTTTTTAATTCACAGAAAAAGAACCGCTCGGAATTACTATGGGTAGCGGCACGAGCTGTTCAAAAGTTGTGTTCTTGCATAATTGTGCTTTGCTCACGCCGGTCCCATCTTTGTGGTAACTTTGGTATAGAGTACGGTGGCATGCGTTTTCTATGCTTATATGCTCGCGAAAGTGATGGAAAGTTGTACAAAATGCAGCATGCGTATGCTGTTACCAAATCCCTGACTAGTTGACGCCACAAAGATATTCGACTTGACATCACTAGGTGCTGCAAAAGAAACCCTTACGCTAGGGGTGGCTTAGAGCTGTTGGAACGCACAGACGCGGGGTGAATTAAGAAAGACAACCGGACGGCGTGAATCCAATTTCCAGCTAACTTCATTATCGTCTCCTTGCTCACCTTGCTCTTGCCTTGACCGTGTTGCGAGGAAGTTGAGTAAGCGAGGGGAGAAGCGGTTATGGAGAGAATTTGGCACATGGTGCGGGAACTCTTGATAATGTACTTCTGGTCAGCGTCAGCAGTTCATACAGATGTGTTGGCCACAAGGTATTTAGCGGCCACTGAAAGGATGAGGCCATAAACACCGTAATGGATGGTTGAACAAAGCTGTACTTCATGCCATCTAGCCGTAGCTCAAAATGAAGTATTGACTCCTTGTCTTCAAAGGTAATTTAACTTCTCCCTTCACACCACAGCTACTAATGAAATAACCTTTTGGTTTTTTTTGCCTTCCTAAATTCGATTTTGAGTTAGTTGTCCCTAAGCCCTAATGCTATGAAAATGCTGTGAAAAAAAAAGTTACAAGGTCCTTCATGCATTAACTTAATGATCACTTGGAGGCGAAAGCTATCATTTGCCCTCACAGCGGTGTACTGATGTTCCCCCGCTACACTTTGAAAGCTTACTGCACCTATAGTAGAATGTACTAGAACTGTTGAGTGGCGTGAACGCACCTGACCACCTGATGCATTCCGCGTTAACTGTAGCGGCAGCGCTGCAGGTGATTAGTACTGAAAGCCCTGCCCGCAAGAACTCCTATGCGCTTCTGCTCTCTCGGTGCACTTTTTAGATGCAGCTTTCTTTGTGCCTGCCCATCATTCATGTCAAGCACATTTTTTTTTCATAACCCTTGAGGAATGACACGCCAAATTACTGAATTTAAGCTCCACAAAAGTCTTTGTAAGGGACCAAAATTATTTATTTTCTTGAGGTTGAACCATCAAAATTGGTACTATAGGTATGAAAACGATGAGAAAGAAATGCCCGATCAGCGCAGTCAAGCTTTTTAGTCTCAGCATTGTTATTCAGGTTACCTGAAGTTAGATGTGCTTCAAAGTACTTTTGTATTGTGAGCACCAGCCAAAGCGCCCGGTCTAAAACAGCTGGTAACATGTTAACAAAAAGAACTCGGTTACATAGATTTCAGCAATAACTATTGAGAATTAATATACTCTTGTCAAAAGCACACCGAACCAGGAAGACTTAGGAGATAGGAAAGAGGGAGGGAATCTGAACCCCCCTCCACCCCGAAATTTCAAATGCGAACATTCCTTGTGAACTTAGGCGATTTTGCCCGGATCTATCTATATAGCCGCCTGTGACTTTTAGCTCTCTTGACCGTTCAGATAATGCGATCTATACCAAAATTGGTACTGCAGAACCATAACATGACTGTATAATGAGCATAAGTGACTAGCCATAACATGAAAATTATGTGTATATCATGACTGTCATGATTCACATGTCATGGTTTTGCTGCTCTTGTGGTTGTTTCGTTCACATGACGTATTGCAAAGCCCGTATGGTATGACATGACTGCATGGCGAACATAAGTGACTGCGCCTAACTTGGAAATCATGACATGTATGTCATGACTACATGCCACACTCACGGTGCACTTGCAGTATTGCTAGCTTCACATATACCAAATTTGGTTGTGTGTGACATGAATGGATGGTGAAGGTAAATGACACGTCCAAACATCATAAGCATGACATGCATGTCATGTAAGAACATGACTATATGCCACGCTCGTGATGCTAGCTTCACATAAGCTCATCGTGGTGTTGAGCAAGAGAAAAACCTGAGGAGGTGCAAAGCACGCAGTGATGGACTGGTGTTTCTACTGGAACACGCCAATTGCTGATGATGGGTGATGAGAAACAGAAGACTCTTAGACATGCAGTATGCTTTTATTTAGCGCCCACGCTGCGAATTTTCATTGTTCAACAACACACAGGCGAGACCTCCCGCTGGCACTATGTTGGAGGTCAAGATCAAGTGCCTAGATCATGGGGTGGCCATTGAACGGTTGTGCAGAGCGAGCAGTCGGTTTTTTAAATCAAGAAACTCGCTAGCAGACGCTGCTTGTGTCAGCGTTGCGAGGTGAGAGAGGGGAAGCGTAGCAGAGAAGAGAGAGTCAGAGGGGGCGCGCACACGTCATGGCGTGGGGAGGAATGCCTAGAGGAGAGAGTGAGCTTAGGTTAGCATGCGAGGCGAGAGAGGGGGACGTGTAGGAGAAGGGGGAGCGGACGCGCATGCGCAGCGTGGGTGGTCACGCCGCACACCAGATTGAGTTCGACTCTATGCTTCGCATCTAAACGTGATGCTGATGTTTACTTGCTAGTGCATGTTTTTCTTTACCTTTGAGAGTTAGGGAGTTTGTATTTTGGTGGCCAGTGAATATCATTAGAGAGTTTTTTTCTGCTGGTGAGGCACATAGCGCGCCCGAGATCAACACGATTGTAGAAATGTTCAGATGTGTCCGTTTACTCGGATTATCTACAGGTTTCTTCTCTACATACTCTAGGCATGTAGTCGTGTACCCCGATTTTCAAGCATTATCTGGCTAATGCTGCTAAATTGGACATCCTGCACAATAGTCTAGTTTCGTTGTTTCAAGCCTTGCATGACGTACTGCAAGGATCTCCCTTTTTAATGTGCTGTTTTGCTTGTACTTCAGTGAGCATGATTACAGAGAATGTTTAGTGCAAATATGCAACAGAAAATACCATGAGTTCAAATTCCGAAAAGGTGCCTTTAATATGTACTTAACTGAGCTTCACCTTTAGAACAAAGTTGCAACATTTTTCTGTGTCGAGGGAATGTGTTGAGTGTTTTCCTGTGTTGAGCTACATGCTATGGTCAAGTTTAGACAAAGCAGTCTTGCGTGCCATTTTTGTTGCTCGGAAAAAAAAAAAGATCTTCGTTCTGTATAGAGTAAATTTTGGTAACAAAGATTAGCATGCCTTTAATCTTTTTTTTTTCTTATGGCGCAATACTTCCTTCAGAATTTTTCCTTCGACCACATTCGTGGAAGTGAACCTTCAGCTACATGCTTATCCGCACAGCAATCCAGTTTCTACAGGCGCTACAACGATGGTCATGCCTCGATTTTCAGGCAACGAAGAAGTGTGACAGCACGGTCGTCCATTTATTTACAAAAACAAATATTTACACTCTGTGCGTGTCCACCACATTCCTGGAACATGGCAGAGGTTCGGAAAAACGCGCCTCGGTAGCCACCTCTTATTGTCGAGAAGGCTAGTTCGGGCTCTGAATGACTCGGCAAGGAAGTGTCATTCAGACTGTTGGGCTCGGCTGGCCTTGGCAGCAGCGTGACGCTTTCCACGCAGCCATGTCCTTCGCCACCAGTTCTTTCGTGGCCTGAAATAGCGTCGAGGCCCTCCAGTTTCCCCGTTGTGCTTTTGGTCGCTGGGACGGTGGAGCCTCGTTGACATCGTTGTTTCCCCTGCAGAGGAGCCAGTGATTAAAGTTGCAGCGGGTCAGTTTGACTCGCCTGCACCACACGAACCAGTTGACGAGGCTGTGAACAATACCATTCATTTCAAAAGATACAGGAGAGGTGCTGCTCGGGTTCACGATTTTTTTTTCACTTCCTGCGTTGACAGTGCCAGCTTGGTGCCGCCGCGCGTGTAGCTGAGCAGACGATGAAACACTTAGGCGTAGGCGCCGTACCTGCCTCCACTAACATGGTGTGTTTAGCCAAGGTGTTTGCCGCCTCATAAACTGTCCACAAGTGCGGTTTGCCACCAGTTAGTGTTATTTGGACGGTGTAAATTAAGCAGTGTAAATTAACAGAAGCAGGACGGTGTAAATTAACAGAAGTAAGGTTTGCACCTTGTTGGCACTTCGTCATTCGTTTCGAGTGTCGCACTATGCCTGCACCACTGAATTCGCTCTGTACAATATCTGAACTTCTCGTGCACAGCCTTGAGCCGGTTCTGATTTGAGCATATGTTGTTAAGACACACGTGAATTTTCAACAAAAGTGAATCGAACGCATTTGGCAGTGTTGCGAAACCACATCCTTGTAGCATTAAGTTTACACCAGATTATCAAAGCATCAAAACGTTACAAACTTGCTATGATTAGCTTCGTGCTGGGCACATGGTGAAAGCAATTGCACTTATTATACTTAAGTGCTCTTGATGTGGTACAGAAAGCAATGCGGAGGTTTGTTCCAGGGAAATGAAGCCTTGAAGCTAAGTATTGTTTCTTGAAAAATTGTACATCGACATGAACAAAGAAGCACGAGAAAATTAAATATAAGAAATGTGCCATTACATCTCATAAAATACTGTGGTAATTATGGTATCGTAATTCGGTACGATACAAGGCTACAGACCGAGAGCTGATGCGAGATGCACTGCACTTTAGGGTCACCACAACTTAAAATATTTTGTGCAGACAGTGCCATGTTCCTCAATTTAATGGTGTTTTTTGTTTGCCCCGTTCAAACGAAGGTCAATTAAGGAAATACAAATCGAAGGACATTAGAGCTTCGCCTTCTAGAGTTGATCGCGACAGCGTAATCGGGTCTCGTGCACAACGCAACGCTTTTTGAACCGATAACTTGCTTTGGTTCTCGGTGCATGCTTCACCGGTGCCTTAAGAATGCGATTGACTGTGCACATTGTAAGGGTGCTGACACCCTCTGTATAGTTGTTTGCGCTGCGTGGCGCACGTGTCTCGCCGAAAAGCCGCATTTCAGGTTACAATCACCGGGCGGTAGATGGTGTTGTGTTCGCGTTGATCACCACTATGATCATCATAGTGTAGCACTGGCGGAAGGCAAGCCTTGGTGGCGGGCGAGAGTTAAGCGAGTTTATTCTGCGCGTGGCGGTTTCCGCGAACGGTTGTCTCAAGCGTGGGTTCCCGGTGCGTGGCACCACGGGCTGCGCGTCGGGGGCCCTCGTGATGCTGTCAAGCGTTGGCGACGCTGCCTTGGGTGTGTGTTGTGTTTTGTCATGTTATTGTGTGTTTGTAGTGTTATTGTGTTTGTCTTGGAGCGTATTGTAATATTTTGTACGGATGTCCTAGCGTGTTCATAACGATGATGTACAATAAACGATAGCATCGTTCTAAATCAGTTAAATAAATGTGTGTTGTTCTTTGATTCGTACCGACCGTGTCTACTGTGTTTGTTCTCTCCAAGAGCGAGGCGCGGTGGTGCTCGCCAACTTTAGACCCGACAGCGTAATTCAGTATATCTCAGAGTATCAAGGAATGCTTATTGCAAGCACAGCTACAAAGTGCCTAGCATCTCATACTTATTCCTTTTGCGAATCAGCGAAGGGCCCACTATACGCGTCCATAGAGAAGCACGCGAACCTAACCTACACAGCTGTTCACTTTGTTGTTGGTTCTGCTGTTGCTCATGATTATTCATGCCTGAGCACTTTGTGATGGGTGGGCCTTTAAAACACCCACTCGTTGCTCATTTCACAACCCTTAGCGCCTGGTGTAATTCTACGCATCTGCCGCACAATATATTATGCGTTAAGGAGACGCTACATCACATTCATATATAACATTGATATTGTTTGTAAATTCCACGAAAATCCACGGGAAACTTCAGTGTTTTTTTTTCCAAAGCATTTTCAATGAATATAGTGGGAGCCACTATATTCATTGAAAGTGCTTTGGGAAAAAAACAGTGAAATTGGTATACAACATAAGTTTGCCACGCAGATGGCCTGGTTTCGATCCTAACACATACCGAAAAATTATCATTTTATCTGCATCTTTCTCAATTTTTTCAGTCTCGGACGAAATGATTTTTCGCTCGCCATCAATGATGCTCAAACTGACATGGACACCGACGCCAACTGCAGGACTTTTGGTGAAATGAGCTCTTCAGGGCTGTCGCGTTCAAAATACTGGGATATACATTGCACGAACATACAACGCAAAAAAAAATGATGAATATCACACAAATATATGCACGGACACTGTAAACCACTTTGTATCCTTAAGAGGGTTTCAAGTAAGCAAAACACCCTTTTGCCCAACCAGAATTTGCAAAATAAGGGTGTAAGGCCGTTTTTCTGTCACAAAACCATCATGTTCCAACAAAATTATCCTTTAGGAGTAAAGTGCGTTTTGGTTTATCGAAACACCCTTAAGATGAATAATGTGGCGTGAGTGGTCCTTCATAAAGAAAAATGAAGCGCTAGTGCTCCATCTATCGGCTATGTTATAATGCGCTCGGTTGTGTGCACCATTTGGCGTGGGCATGCATCATCTATGCTGATGTCATTCTCAGTGACTCAGTGATAAGGGTGTTTAGGCCAGTAAAAACACCCTATTGTATGTTTGGATACGTGAAAACACTCTTTTCTCAGAGTGTAAGGGTGTTTGTTATAAACATGGCAGAACACCCTTAAAGGTGCAAAGTGGATTACTGCGAACCGTAATTTGCCTGTGTATGATTTATGTACTGTACATAAATCCATAAATTTGACCACCAATTATTATTTACATCACGGTAAGAAGTTTGGTGACTGTTAATTGTGGCCACTGTCATTTAGGAGTTAACTGACTCATGCGATATAACTGCCAATCATGCACTTGAAACTCACGTATGTAATAAATTCTTCGTCCCATCTGTCGGCTGTGGTCAAGGGCTGTTCCTCGGAACGACACGGTTGGCTTGGTATTTCCTCATCTGGTATACAACGAAAGTGCCGTCCTTTCATCCTCAATAAGCTTCTTTTCGACTGTCCACCAGAAAGCTGTCAGCTGTAAAGAAATCACCCAGTGCAGCGCAAAAGAAATGAGGGCAAAAGAACCGAGGCACACGCCTTTTCTGCTGGCCAATAGACGATTGTCATAGCGCGAGTTCAAAACGACAACGGAATAAGAAGACGAGTGCTCGTCCTCTTGTTTATTTGTCATTGTTCTGAGCTCGCGCTATAAACAATCGTCATAACCTACCAACTAGCCCAAACTGCCACGCCTCTAAATAGAGTCGGAGACTTCATTCTCTACCACCCAATATTTTGTATTGAACAGGTAAGCGGAAGGTCACACCTGTATTGGCTCATTCAGTCCTCATGTCTTATTGTGATGGAGTTGCATTTAATACAAAGGTATTTCGGCGACTACAATGAACAACCATATGCTTTCCACTTTCTATTTCTCTTGAAGTACCACACGACCAAGAAAAGTTCGTGTTTTTTTTTTTCAGATTTGTTAATGTTAATAACGTGGTTATATTGCGTAACGGGACTTGGAATTATGCCGTCGGCAAAAATGACCCAAATATTAACATGGCAATTATATTTTAACAAAAAACAATCAACATGCAGAAATTCTTACCCTATCGTCATTACATGGGCAAGAGAAGCTTGCATGTACGTGCCTAATGGAATACCTACCTACCTAATTTAACCTACCTGCCTACCCGCCATCTATCTATCTATCTATCTATCTATCTATCTATCTATCTATCTATCTATCTATCTATCTATCTATCTATCTATCTATCTATCTATCTATCTATCTATCTATCTATCTATCTATCTATCTATCTGTCTGTCTGTCTGTCTGTCTGTCTGTCTGTCTGTCTGTCTGTCTGCCTGTCTGTCTGCCTGTCTGTCTGTCTGTCTGTCTGTCTGTCTGTCTGTCTGTCTGCCTGTCTGTGTGTCTGTCTGTCTGTCTGTCTCACACTGTGCAATTGTTCTTCCCGTTTCCTTCCTCCATGCAGGAAATCGCGCAGTCATCGACGTTTAGCGTTTCAATTGCTACAAGCATCAACTGGGGTCATGCGTTCACATCCAGGTACCAACAAAATGTACCAACGTGATGCGAAAAATCACCTCAATGGAAGAAATGACTACCATACCGGGAACATTGCATCGCCGGTAGACCCACAATCGCGAGAGCATGAATTTTAGAAAAAAAACGCCCCATATAAGCACGCATGTGACCAAAAAATCAATCAACTTCTGTACACTCGCTGAAGCGGGGTATTTCGCATGCTAGCCCTAAATCGCCGAGTTATAACAGCTTCACACATTAAAACAACGTGCCGGAGCGCTTTATGCTGGCTAAACAAACCCTTATCCTCACTTCTAAATCATCAGGAAGGAACAATTCTTAGTCCAATGATGAGTCTGGCAGGCGGACATTATCATAGAAGAACAGTTTCACTTAAGAAAATTATTGAATTAGCAAATATTCACTTCAACGTGTACCACACAAAAAGGTGGAAAACCCGATTCCCATAAATATTGTCGCATTGGCCGCTGTGTCCCTGCTTTGCATTCTTGGTTTGTTGAAGCATTAACTTTTTAAAGTGACTTACCAAGGCGACCCATTGGAACCCCACGAGAGGGCAATGTGCGTCAGGACGAGATTTGTGCAGAGTCGCACACCCTTTGGAAGCCAGTGGATGCCGTCTTCTGCGCGATACTCGAGGAACATGCGCAGGTGGTAGTGAATGTCGATGACATCGATGCCATACCTGTCAGCCGTCTACGAATAGGCAAGGATGATGCATTGCTTAGTGAATATGGGTTACAGTAGCAAACACCAGCGTAAAGCAAAGTGAGTAAGTTGACTTTTTTCTGATTTAACAAGTAAGAGCAGCAGGAATGTTTTAAGACTTCCTACACGGCGGATCTCTGCATCGAAGAAGAAAAACAAAATTTTATTTGTGCAAGAGACTGCGTGGTCGGCACTCTAAGCACCGCTGGCTCTGGCCATCCTGTCTGCCCTTCTGACTAGCCTAAGTTGGTCCCTGAGGGAAGGACTGGGCAGCATTGCCTCCCACCTCAATCTGTTATTATCCTCTCCCTGCTCATCGGTGTCATATGTGCATTTGCTCGTGATGTGGTAGGGCGTCTGTGCGCTCCCACACCACGGGTATATGTCAGTATGCTGTGGGGTGGTACGTGTGCAATATGTATGTTTATGTGTTCGTTCGTGGCCGACGTAAGACTGCAGAATCCACGGCCGAGAGGTTCTCGCGCGGCACTGGGTAGGGTCTCCGAAATTATCTTCTACATTGCAGGATCACTTTGCAACTGCGATCAATGGGCGTCGGTTCCTCCACGGTGTTGCCATGGCAGCTCGATAGTAAACCTCGAGCAGCCTCATCTGCTGAGAGGCTCCTGGTAACAATCTCGTGTAGCGGTACTCGAGTTATTGTCCGGCTATAGTTGATGTCTAGTTATCTGCTGTTCTGGGGAAGTATCCGGTGAGCCGATTTTTCTGTTGCCATGACTTCTACATGCGGCCTGGGAATCCGTGACAGTTGTCAGCGAAGCATTGCGCTCATGGAAATCTGCATCGAATTTATCGAAATTTATGTTTTCGAGTACCTTTACGTTTATTTTGTGCGCAATTAATAAGGAGTGGTCAAAGATACTGAAAATTGAGTTTTCTCGTTCCTGTTGCGCATAACTGCATTGTTTAGTGTATTGCTGTTTGAAGGATATATATAAGAAAGACGGCAATTAGGGACCGTGGGTATTCCCACCATTGTTACCATGTAGTGCCTATTGGCCATTGAAAACATACCACCTAAGAGAAAAGATATGACATGAATTATGTAGGCAAAAAAAAAGAGAGAGAGAGAGAGAGAGAGAGAGCTTTAGTATAGCGGGAAACAGCAAACGCAAGAATTCAGTGTTATGGCATTAGCGTTGCGTGCTCCAGATGGAGCATGTACAGAACGTTAACGTAGCCCGAGCTCTTACGTACGAGTGCTATATCTGGATTGTAGCAGTAAACGCTAACGCTCGCAAAAGATCCCGTACGTATACGGCAAGATGGCGGTGCCCGTTGAAGTTAAAGTCCCATAAAAACTAAAGTAGCGCATACGGCGCCCTTTCGCCTCTGCTTCCTCTCCCAGCAGCTGCAGAATCCTCTCCTACAGCGTTTAGCAGGAAACTACGGACACCGGCATTCTTGCTCCCGGTGCACAGGGGAAGGTAAGCCGGTGTCGTGGCCCCGCCGCGGTGGTCTATAGTGGCTAAGGTACTCGACTGCTGACCCGCAGGTCGCGGGATCAAATCCCGGCTGCGGCGGCTGCGTTTCCGATGGAGGCGGAAATGTTGTAGGCCCGTGTGCTCAGATTTGGGTGCACGTTAAAGAACCCCAGGTGGTCGAAATTGCCGGAGCCCTCCACTACGGCGTCTCTCATAATCATATGGTGGTTTTGGGACGTTAAAGCACACATATCAATCAATCAAGCTGGTGTCATCGTGGAAACAAAAAAAAAAGCGCGACCGAGTAAGACAAGATGGCGCTTGCACCAGCAAGGCTACCAAGCACGGAGGACAGGAGGAGCCTGCACGCCGACACGAATGGTGCTACTTTAGTTATTTCTGAAGACTATAGCCACTTCGAATCTTTGTAGTCGTCCGTCTGCTATCTGAAACTACTTCATTCCCAAACACTGGTATTCGATTTAGATTTCAGTAATGAGGCTTCGCCAGCTGCATATACTGCCGATAAGAGCTACGTCAGCGTTGAACGCTACAATAGAGTCTTTTACCAAGGTATGGAAATACGGTATGCAAATAGGATAAGGTATTACCGTACTTCCCCTCCTTTCCCGGTTTGTTGACATTTTACCAGTGAACGCACCCCAACCACACAAAAGCTTTTTCAAAAATTACTTTGGCATTGTCACGCCTGCATCAACGTTGCCTGCTAGCCTACGTACTGTTAGAGTAGAACCTGTCGTCCGGGGGGCACACTGTCACTGGAAAGGAAGAAAGCTACCGTACTGCCTTACCGTATTTGCGTACCGTAGTTCCGTAACTTCCACATGCTCAGTTTGGAGCACACAAGGCTAGCGCTAACGCCAAATACTTGCGTATGCTGTTTCCCTCTATATTAAAACTGACTATTGATACGCAGTGACATTAAAACAACATAGGAGTGGGACATATCTACAAGTAACGCTCGGTGAGTACGTTTCTTAGCTAGCATACACTCTAAGAAGAGAAGTATTGTGTTGACTGTATTTCTTGACTTGTCGGACAAGTGACTCTCTTTAGCGAGAATGGTCCTTACTCTGTCGATGAGGGGTGCGTCCTAGGAAACTTCAAAATGAGTATATGCAAATGAAATTGACACGTACATGTACAAAACAAACTAATGAATCCAACAGACAAGAAAGCTAAGGAAGGTACAAAGGACATTATTACTGATTTAACTGTAGCACAGTAATTTTAACATAAAGGGAAATGAATTAAAATTGATGTAAAATCAGCATGCTTTAGTGAGGGACCAAACCTACACGTCGAGTGACGCGGGCAATGCTCTATCAATTCAGGAGCGACGACCATCGTTTTCCCGTTCGTTTTATTGGACATTTGGGCTCGACGTTATCCCGAGAATATAAAGCAGCGCCCTTCGAAGCCAGAACAGCGAGTAGTAGAGTGGTTTGGTTGCGAGCTCGCGTCACGTAGCCCGTAATCTTACTGTGTGCTGAAAGCTGACAAACACTTGTAAGTACTTGAGGCATCAAGCCTCCTGGAACGAGATTGTGAATGAAACAGCGAAAAAGGAGCGAACGATTGACTACTCTTTTCTTCTTGCTAAACGCAACCTAATGACACCAGTAGACAACAAAGTCTAACAAGGCGGGGGTGGGGGTGGGGGCACTTCATGCTTTTGGTAGTTAGTATATTTCGGCAGTGTCGATCAGTGGTTAAGGCTGATGACCCGAAGGTCGAAGACACGATCCCGGTCTTGGCGGTCGCATTTCGGTGAAGGCAGGATAGTGGAGATCCGTGTGCTGGTGGATCCCTCTACTACAGCGTCGCTATGATATTGTTACGAGAAGGAGACTGACTCAGAGGGGTTGTCACCGATGTATTTACAGCCGGTTAGGCAAGCAGCGCCAGCCACACACATTAGCTTGCGCTTCAGTCTATTTGCTTTGTCTTCTTCAACTCCATACACTGGCACGTAGCATGACCCCCGGCGGCGGAGGCACCGTCCCGGTGCTTTAAAGGTCGTTATCTGACGCATTCTTGTAGGGCTTGATCCGCGAGACGTGTACAATATCACTGGGCCGCATAGCAGATGATGATGGACAGATGGGGCTGATCTCATAGATGACAGGTGTTACTTGACGCAATACGGTAGGGTCCCGTGTCTTGAGACAGAAGTTTTTCGGATAGGCCCAGCCGACGATGAGGGGACCAGAGTAAAACGAGGGTACCGGGAGCGAAATGTATGTCTCGATGTTCCGCATCGTATCGACGGCATTGGTTGGTTTGCGACGCCATCAGCCGAGCGCGAGCGAGCTGACGCGCATGATCGGCTCGCGCAATCGCGTCGCTGGCATACTCGCTTGTGGATGAGGTGTGAGCTGAGATGACTGTGTCCAGTGGTAAAGTCGGCTCTCTTCCGTACAATAAGTAGAACGGCGAAAAGCCCGCTGTGTCGTGACGGGATGAATTATACGCGAAAGTTGCGTAGGGTAAGGTAAGGCCCCAGTCTCGGTGGTCGGGCGACACGTACATAGCGAGCATATTTGTTAAAGTGCGGTTAAATCGTTCCGTGAGACCGTTTGTAAGCGGTTGTCAGTGTGTGTTGCGTGGAACAAGAACGCAGAATGTAGGCGATGACTTGGGATAGAAATGTACGCCCATGGTCTGTGAGAAGCTGTCTCGGAGCACCGTGAATCTTATAACGTCCCGCAACAAGAAGTAAGCGACGTCGGTTGCACAGCTGGTCGGTAGAGCTCGCGTAATAGCGTAGCGTGTAGCGTAGTCTGTAATAACGGCTATCTATTTGTTTCCCAATGTTGATGTGGGAAAAGGACCAAGCAGGTCTAACCCAACACGGTAAAATGGTTCCGCGGGTATGTCAATTGGTTGAAGATGGCCAGCGGATAGCAGCGACGGTGTTTTACGACGTTGGCATAGGACACACGTGACGACGTATCGGCGTACCGAACGAGCAAGGCCTGGACAGAAAAAACGGCGCCGGACGTGCTAGTACGTGCGGGATACGCCAAGGTGTGTAGCCGTGGGAGCGTCGTGAAGTTCGGTGAGAACACAGCGGCGCAAATGCTTAGGCACAACAATGAGAAGGTCGGGCCCGTCTGGTCGGAAATTGCGACGGTATAGCACACCCTTTTGAATGACAAAGTAGCGGACGGAAGCATCATTTGTGGTGGATTCCATACGGCTGATGATGTCAAGCAGCTCTGAATCACGCTTCTGTTCTTCCCCAATATTAAGGAAGTCGGACACTGACAAGATAGAGTTTTCCGTGGGCTCGTCAGTGTCTTCCGGATCGTCGACAGGGTACCGGGAGAGGCAATCGGCATCATGGTGTAGGTGGCCAGATTTGTAGACCACCGAATAGGAAAACTCTTGCAGGCGCAAAGCCCAGCGACCAAGGCGGCCTGATGGATCTTTCAGAGAGTTGAGCCAGCAGAGTGCGTGGTGGTCGGTAACTACCAAAAATGGGTGTCCGTATAGATAAGGTCGAAATTTCACCACCGCCCATACAAGAGCCAAGCACTCACGCTGTGTTATCGAATAGTTACGTTCAGGGGTGGATATGAGGCGGCTGGCATATGCAATAACGCAATCATGGCCATATTGTTTCTGAGCCAGCACTGCACCAAATCCATGCCCACTTGCATCTGTACGGATTTCCGTAGGGGCAGCAGGGTAGAAGTGTGCCAGAATCGGAAGGGTAGTGAGAAGAGCGACGAGAGTCGAGAACGCAGAAGCCTCTTCGGAGCCCCATGAAAACGGGACTTCTTTCTTGAGGAGCTGCGTAAGCGGCCTTGCTATGTGCGCAAAATTTTTCACGAAGCGTCAGAAGTAGAAGCATAGTCCGATAAAGCTGCGTACATTCTTCGCAGATCGTGGTACAGGAAAGTTTTTGACGGCACTGATTTTTGCCGGGTCTGGTTGTACACCGTTGGCGTCTACTAAATGGCCAAGCACTGTGATTTGATGGCGTCCAAAGTGACATTTGGACGAGTTGAGCTGCAGGCCAGCGCGACGGAAGATTCCCAGGATGGCTGAGAGGCGCTCTATATGAGTTTCAAATGTTGGTGAAAAGACGATGACGTCGTTCAAGAAGCACAAACAGGTTGACCATTTGAATCCTCTGAGCAGGGAGTCCATCATTCGTTCGAAGGTGGCTGGAGAGTTACAAAGGCCGAAGGGCATGACCTTGAACTGATATAGGTCATTGGGGGTGATGAATGCCGTCTTTTCACGGTCCATTTCATCTAACTCTATCTGCCAGTAGCCGGAACGAAGGTCTATGGAGGAAAAATAGTGGGACCCATAGAGGCAATCAAGCGCATCATCTATTCGTGGCAGAGGGTAGACGTCTTTTTTGGTAATTTTGTTTAGGTGTCGATAATCCACGCAGAAACGCCATGCACCGTCTTTCTTGCGGACTAGCACTACAGGAGAAGCCCAAGGACTGCAGGATGGCTCAATGATGTCCTTGGCGAGCATTTTGTCGACCTCACTTAGGATGATGTGACGCTCGGCCGCCGACACCCGATATGGACGCCTATGAATAGGATGCTCATTACCAGTGTTTATGCGGTGGCTCATACCGGTAGCTTTCCCCAACGGACGGCCGCTGATGTCAAAAACGTCGATGTAGGACAGCAGAACCCGGTGGAGCTCATCAGTCTGCTGCGGCGTTAAGTCGGAAGCGATCGTCGACGTAATAGCGCTGTCGGAGCAAGTGGCGAATTGATGTTGAGCGTGGGGGTCAGAAGGAGCGGCCATAGTGAAAACATCTACCGCATTGTCTTCTAAGGTGCAGAGTAACGCCGTAGAGATCACTTGTGGCAGAACTTGAGGTGTCAAGCTCAAGTTGACAACTGGAAGGCACGTAGAATTTCCTGCGACGGACAGAATGGTGTGCGGTAATGTAATGCCACGGCTTATGAGGACATCGGTGATAGGGGTCAGAACATAGTCGCCGTCGGGAACTGGTGGTATTGAGACGAGCTCTATGTAGGTCAGTGTCTGTGGAGGGAGGCGCGCGTGTCCCGTTGTGCAGAGGCGACTCGGCCGTTGTGCAAGAGGTTCTGTTGCGGGCAAGTGTAGATGGAGCGTACTGGTCGAGTCTATGAGGGCAGAATGTGCGGACAGGAAGTCGAGGCCTAATATTTCGTCGTGGGGGCATTTATCAAGGACGGTGAAGATAACAACTGTGTGTCGATCCGCAATGCTCACACGAGCGGAGCACATTCCAACGATAGATGCTATTCCACCATCCGCAACACGGACGAACTGAGTGGTCGCAGGTGTGAGAACCTTCATGAGCTTGCGGCGAAAATCACTCGCCATCACGGAAAGTTGGGTGCCGGTGTCGACAAGAGAAGTGACATGTACGCCGTTTACTTGTACGTCTATGAGGTTCCGTTTTGTCGGTATCGTCAAAAGAGGATTTTCGGTCAGTCCGAGCAATGCAGTGCCACCTCCAGGGGCTGCAACGCTTAGGTTTCCGTCGGGGAACCTCGTGGGAAGGCGGGGGAAGATAATCGGCGGGGCTGTGGGGAACGAGACTGGTGACGTTGGGGGGATGGAGAGCGGGAGTAGCGGTGTTCAGAAGCAGGTTCCTGGGCAAAATGGTCTCGGCTGGTCTCATGGCGATAGGCAGGACGTGCATAGAAGGGACGAGAGGACGGTTGTGCATGAGGACCCCAGCGACTTCTGCAATTGCGAGAAATGTGCCTGACTCTGTGACACGAGAAGCAGATCGGCTTGTCATCGTGTGTTCGCCATGCGGACGGATTACGGAACGTTGAGGGAGAGGCGGTCGGGAAGGGACGTGCAGGCGTGTATCGGGGCTGGTAGTCGGTGCGGGGAGGTGGTGAGATAGAGTGAATTCCCAAGCTGGTGATTTCCTGCCGGACGACTGCTTGAATGAGAGGCAACGTAATTGGCGGAGGAGGGTCAGGGGACGTTGGTCCCACCTTAGCTGGAGCATCCGCTTCAAGCTCCGGCCTGACGATTCGCGTCAAGTTGTCACAGGTGTCTGGTGGATGATATGTGTCGAGACACGAAGGCGTCGCAGTGGTGTTCGGGAGGCGCTGGAACTGATGGGAGATGCGTCTGCTTTTAGCTTGTTGGAACCGGCGGTATTCTTGAATGATCGCATCAACAGATGACACATTGTTGAATACCAACAAGTTGAACGCATCGTCGGCGATACCTTTTAGGATATGCGCAACTTTTTCAGGTTCGGACATATTTTCGTCAGCTTGGCGGCATAGTGAAAGGACAGCCTGAATGTAACCGATGTAGAATCCGTGGAAGATTGTGCGCGAGTCGACAACTCATTTTTTGCAGCTTCACGACGACCAGAGACGTTGCCTAAAAGCTCACGAATCTTTGCCTTGAAGCTGTCCCAGCTTGTTATGTCGTGCTCGTGGTTGTCAAACCAAACACGAGGGGTTCCGTCGAGATAAAATATGACGTTTGCGAGCGTAAGAGTGGGATCCCACCTGTAAGTGGCGCTGACGCGTTCGTAGAGGCGTAGTCACTGGTCGACGTCGGAACCCTCGCTGCCCGAGAACACGCCGGGGCCTTTGAGCGCGGGAAGTGTCACGAAAGTTGTTGCGGGCGCTGGGTTGACAGGTCGAGCAGAAGGGCGGGCGACTGGAGAGGATGTAGCCGAGTCTTAAGTGGTCATGTTGTAAGCCAGGAGGGAGCGTCTGCTTCGGAGTTCCGTGGCGAGGACGGGGATCGCACAACTCCACCAAATATGTTAGGAGAAGGAGACTCAGAAGGAGACTCACCGATGTATTTACAGCCGGTTAGGCGAGCAGCGCCAGCCACACAGATTAGCTCGCGCCAGTCTATCTGCTTTGTCTTCTTCAACTCCATGCACTGGCACGTAGCAATATCATGGTTTCGGGACGTAAAATCCAAGATATTGTTACTACTTATCGTTGCGAATACAATGCACATAGATCACAGAGCTTACATTCCACGTGTTTTTGCTGCAACATACAAGAGTATTAGACTGTCGAGATGCAGCGTAATCTAAGTACCTTCCTGCAGAAGGCGTTAGCCTCGAGGACGTGGAATCGGAGGGAGTACTTGAGGAAGTCTAGCTGCGGGATGAGGAATCCACCGCGGACATCCTGAGCCAAGGGGGCTGCTGTCAGCCAGATGACCAGCGATGTAGAGGGCAGTATTCTGTTCAGGTGGCCGAAGAACAGGTGGAGGTTGGCCTTGTACTCCTCAACGCCGTTTGGACCCCAACTGCAGACATTTTGTGCGAAGATATTCAGAATGAAAAGAAATCTAGCAAGTCTGGGAGCGCAGCGAGCACAGAGAGAATGCAAAAGGTTCTTGTAAAATTGATATGATGAAATACCAAAATTCATTAAAACAAAGCATTTCAAGGTTATCTCGTTAACCAGCCTGTGAGAAATGCATATCTCGAGTGAATCCCTAACATGGAGGTATTTTCAGTTTGACGTGCCCGTTACACGCTTGCGTTGTAGATCGCCAGAAACAACATTTTTTTCTTCCTTAGCCAGTGGCGTAGCCAAGGGTTGATACATCAATTTCTAGTATATTTTTTACGTCTAGGGGTACAGAGCACAAAATAGTATTCGACCACACTTACCAGTCCGGATATGTCAGATAAAAAAAGACGCATCGTACCAAAACAAATTGATGTAAAATATTTTGCATAAAATGAAATTTATTTATATTTTTAATCTTTTATTTCGCGCAAAAGTGGTTACAGACACCGGTGGTGGCGGTGGCGGATAACTACAGCACAAAAAAAGCAGGTTTTTCTCATCTCAACAACTTTCACTGCAAAACAGAAAAAGCAATATTCCAGGTGCGCTGTGAGCAACCAAAAACTTTTCGGGGAGATAGAAAAGTGAAATAGATCATTTAGGTTGTCTTGCTCTCAACTGTTCAAATTTGAAACTAATAAGCGCAATATTTACGCGCCGATTATTGTAATCTTTTTTTAGTACAATTCAGCACTCGATGCGACACGTACTCCAGAAAGCCCAGGCCCACTACGTCACAGCCGAGTATTCTCACTCACAGCCACGCCGGTGCATAAAACTCGCCAACGATCCCTATGCATACACCAAGTTGGAGAGGGCATTACGTGCACATATTGTAGTACAGCGTAATAGAATAGCAAAGTAACGACTGGGCGTCATACAATGTCGCATACAATGGTTTCGGATGGGTACATCGCTTCTCCGCAGAAGGACGAACCATATATACGGTGGATGCTTCCTTACTTAAATTATGACAATATGAGGCATAGCGGGTGCCATGTAAGCGTACTTGCAATAGTTGCCCCAAGAGCGTGGAGGCTATAGGCTGCTCTTCCGGGTGAGACTTTGCAGCGTGTGCTACCGAGGCCTCACATTTTGTTAGCAGATGATAGATGGCGTAAGAGCACAGAAATTCCATGTGCAACCTTGCATACCGAGGCAACTGGATTGTTCGGCCTTTGGATTTTGCTGTCGCATGACTCAACGTCACTTCTCATGACGCAGAATAACATTGTTAAAGGAAGGGGAAAATAGACAACGACCCATTTGTAGCACGATGCCACAAGGAAATCCGTACGGATTTCTCAAATGTTTCTGGCAGGCTTGCGGATTTTCAGGTTGCCCTATATACGGATCCGTACGGATTACTTCGTGACTTCGTGCTACAAACGGGTGGTCGTCTGTTTTTTCCTTTCTCCGCCCTTCCGCGACTTTGCGGTTTCCCACAGAACTAATTTGCATTGCACAATAACATTGTGTGTCGCTGTAGCTGCAAGTTGTTTTTCAGTGGCGCCATGAAGTGTTCCCTTTCTATATATTGTTCGAAATTCAGCCGGTGGACTAACAGATGTCTCGATGAAATAGTTCGCATGCAATTACATTGCCATCGTGTTCAAACGAGCTGCGAATTGACCGTTTTTGCCGTTGGAATGCACCACTGACCGTGTGATGTCCCAAAGGCAGGATGAGGCGATGATGACGTCAGGAGCACTGTCAATGGCCATATCCGCCAGGATACGTTCAACGTAACCACTGTAGATTTTCGTGAGGAAGTAGAAGGAAACGGACGTCCTGTCTTTCCTGTAAAGCCTTTCTTCTAGGTAGTCGCGGCCGTTGTGTTTTATTCCGTGCTTTACAAGGTTGTCACCGAAGCAACTATTCTCCATCTGAAACATAGTTAATGAAGTTTACATCGAAGGATGTGCTAACACAGAACAATAAACAGTTAAGTTGGCAAAACTGTCCCGCACCTAAAGAGACCAATGTCAACATGGTTCTTAAAATTTTAGTAGTGCCGTTTTTTTTTCACTGTTAACGTGGGCCAAAATGCTGAAACCTGCCCAAGACTGTGCACTAACCACTAGAAAAAGTGGAGGCCGCATAATTTGTGTGAGTAAGAAAAAAAAGGGCAGATCCCACGTACAGTGGGAATCAATTATATGTGAGGAAATATTGATATGTCACTTTAAAATCAGCACAACGTCACGGGGTGGAGATAAATGATGCCGTACGTGACTTCCGTGTCATGATTATCGTGTTTGGATGTGTCGTTTACCTTCGTCATCTATTCACGTCACGTGATACCAAATTTAGTGTATATGAAGCTATCGAAATGGCCGCGAGCACGCTATGAGCGCGGTATCTTGTCATGTTCCAACATGATACGTGTGTCAAGATTATCATGTTTGCACCAGAGATTTATTTCGTCAGATATTGACGTCACGTAACACCAAATTTGGTATAAACCGGCCGCGAGCGCATCATGAAGGGCCCAATATACTCCAATGTAGCGTTGACGCGCGTGCACGCTGGGCACATGATACGTTAGCAAAACGCGAGCACTTATAGTCTGACGCCAGGCGTGACCGGCGTCCGTCGGCGCGGCCCAACGGCAACCGGCGCGAAATGCGACATGCTGCATTTCGCGCTGATACTTTACCCGGACAACACAGCGTCTCCCTCTTCTGCAAGATGTTTCAGCACGCGAACAAAGAAAAAAGGACAGGGTAGACAGGGTTTTTCCTTTTTCCTTTGAACAAAGGACAGGGTTTTTCATTTGTTCGCGCGCTGAAACATCTTGCAAATATGGCTACGCACCAACTAGCCCAAGCTTCCGCTCTTGTGAGTCTCCCTCTTGTTGCGACGAAGGGACGCCGGACGCCCTGAAACGCGCATGTATCAAAGCTACGCAGTGCCGCGTGCGCCTGTGAGTATATGGCAGGGCCGGTGCCTGGCGTGGCAACGCCGGCGTGACGCGAAGAAATGAACGCCGGCGAGCACGCGCACCGCGTCACGTCGAAATGTGTTGGCGCCTTGACTGTGGCATGTAGTCATGTTCTCACATGACACGCATCTCATGACTATCATGTTTGCACCAGTCACATACCTTCGTCATCCATTGGTGGCGCGTAATACCGAGTGTGGTACATGTGAAGCTAGTGAAACGGCCGCAACATGAGCGTAGTATGTAGTCATGTTGTTACATGACATGCATCTCATGTTTATCATGTTTGCACCACTATCATATACCTCGTCATCCATTCACGTCCTGTGATACCAAATTTGGTATAAGTGAAGCCAGCGATACGGCCACCAGCGCATCAAGAGCGTGGCATGTAGTCATGTTATTACATGACACGCATCTCATGATTATCATGTTTGCACCAGTCACATACCTTCGTCATCGATTCACGTACCGTAATACAAAATTTGGTATATGTGACGCTAGCAAAACGGCCGCGAGTGCATCATGAGCGTGAAACGTAGTCATGTTCTTACATGACAATCATGTCATGATTTTCATGTTAGGGTCTGTCGCTTTTGTTCACTATGTAATGTTGTCATATAATACCAGTTTTGCAACATGCCATTTGAACGAAACCACCGCAAGAGCTGCTGAACCTTGAAATGTAAATAATGACATTCATGACATGTCATGAATTTCATGTTATATCTAGCCAAATATGTTCTCCATAAAGTCATGTTTTGCCATACCAAGTCTGATATTGATTCCATTATCGAAAGGGCCAGGAGAGCTAAAATTCGTAGGCGGCTAGGTAGATAGATAGACAGACAGATAGATAGATAGATAGATAGATAGATAGATAGATAGATAGATAGATAGATAGATAGATAGATAGATAGATAGATATGCTCAAAGTCGTAGAAGTTCGCTAAAAAATGCTTCGCTTTTAAAATAATCTACACGCTTGAGCAATGACAGCAGTGGTTCCGATGAACATCCCGAAAAAAACAAGTGCACCAATACAAGGAAGTGCTGTAAGCTGCTAATACAACTCTGGTCTCTTTGAAACGTGCTGCGCTGTGGTGGTCAGTTAAGCATGAGATCGATGATGAATGAGTTCTCCTTACTATTATTTAAATCATTTTCTCGTTCTGTTGTCGAGAATCACAAACTTGATTTTCCACCGACTGATTACGAATTCCTTCTAGGATCGTCTTGTAGAATCCTGTTTTTTTTGTCCTTTGTCTCTGGGACAGATACATTTGAAGAACTAATTTCCTGCACGACACTTTTACGAAAGACTTTTGTGTGTTATTGAAGAAAATGGTTAACTATAACTAATTCTTCCCAGTCTTGCGTGCCTACATGCATTTGCTCGATGGCTCAATGAAGCAACAAAACTTGAGATAAAATTATTTGACCGTTTCGAAAATTGAATTGAAGCCACATACTCCAATCGAATCTGTAAAGCATGAGTGATCCGACATAGCTCGCCTAATTCAAAACGCAGCCGTCGCCCTTGAACCAGCCACATCAACTTTACCAGAAGACCTATACTCAACAGAACTGCTCAGCTAGCTGCACAAACAACAGATGCCTTGAACGTAGAGATTACTCCTTGCGTTAGCCGGGATTGTCTGTCCCATTTTTCTCCGTCTTTGACTTCCGCACATCAACCGCCACAAACGAAAACTCGCGGAACGCACGAAGGCTGTTCTTCCACAAGACTTGAATCGTGATAAACGCACTCACGCAATACATTAACGTCCGTGATTTGGACAACGGCACCAGTCGTATAATTTTGGGAAACTAAGTGATAGTCCTAAAACATTGTCACGATATGTTGAAGTACCGAATGCGTGCGCCAAGGTGCGCGCGAGAACAGCTGAGAGCTCACCTTCTGCCTTAAAATTTCGTTCGATATGAACTCGTTGTACTGATGTAAACAAATCAGGTCCTTGTAGATGGCCCTCACATCTAAGATAGAAGGAGGAACAACAACTCTTAGCTTCCAGTGTTCAATGAAGGCTGGAATACTTCGCGATTGTGCACTTACTTGAACATCCCATTAGCACAAGTCGCTTCTTATCGAGCAGGTTGTGCACGTCGTTGCTCTCAAATAAGAAAGGCATCTTGGAATATACGGCCTGAGGAGGCCTGACGAACTAGTCTTGGTAACGGAACCGCCAGCGAAGAACGCAGCTTTTTCTTTGGAAAGCACGCGCCCAGCGCACGTGACTCTTGGCCGATCGCCCCTGAGTGAGAAGGTGTCAATCATCCAACGAGAATCATCATCATCATTGTCGAACGTGCTGATGCGTGCGCGCTCGCTCTGCTAGGTGATTGATGATGATGATGATAGATGTCACGTTAATAAAAACTTCATGGCGTTTTAGCGTAGCGTACCCAAACCATGTAAAGCCAGGTAACAGATTTGTTCGGGTTGAAATCAGGCACTAAACAAGACTTATGTGATGCATGACATATATTAAGCTCAACTTGTAATTATTTTTCGGGATTCGATTTTCACTAGATTCGGTACCCATTTTGCATATATATATATATATATATATATATATATATATATATATATATATATATATATATATATATATATATATATATATATATATATATATATATATATATATATATATATATATATATATATATATATATATATATATATATATATATATATATATATATATATATATATATATGCCACATTGAAAGCTTTCTGCCTTACCAACAACAAGAACAATAAATGTATTCCGGAATATTGCGATGTTCAGTTTTATTGTATGTTGCAACCGTCCCCAGAGCGCTGTTTTCGTGTAGCATCAACGAGAAGTATTTCATCCTCTTCCCTGCTCTTGGTGAAGTCTGTAAGGGCTCCTCAAAAGAGCACCCCGACACTACCGAAAGGAGATCTAATGTTCCAAAATTTAAGTGTTGCCCATGGTCAAAAGCTCCACGTCGGCGCTGAATGCGGTCCTGCAAGGTGCGTTTATAAGAAATTTATATTCACATAGCGAATATAGATTTTTTTTATAAACGCAGGAGTCAATTTCTTCCTTGAACATCTCATTCAAACCAAATAAATTAATGTGCTGGTGTGAGATAAAAATGGTCGTACTGTAAATATTTTCCGAACAATATTTTCATTTAAAATGGCATAACACTTATGTCATAAAATATATTTTTTTTTTATTGCCTATGAATCTGAAGTACTGAAGGACTGCGTCTTCCGTAGGAGAGTGAACGACTCTTTTGACGGCCAGGATCATATTGCAATCACCAAGAACTGGTGCTGATGAAGCTGAGAACAATAAATACTAGAAACAAGTGTCATTCGTTCCAGGCTTTATAAACCGAGTACGTGTCGCAAGTCCATCAAGAATCTCCGTGGGCATTTAAGTGTGACTACCAAACGCAATGGGCTCCTGATTTCATATCGTGCCCCTTGAAAACAGAAATATGTTTCGCATGTCTAAATAGTAACTGATGTGCAAGAAAAATTCTGCGCATGCTAAGACTCCGCTATTCTCATAGAAATAAAAATACATGTATCGATTTTCACGCGAAAAGTCACTTACCAAAATAGGGGCATTCAATGGGCACTGACAAAATAAAGATTTGGTCCAGCTCTTTTTTTTTTTTTTGCTGAATTATGCTGCTGGGGGCGTGTGAGACATAAGGCAGTAGACTGCAAGCCGCTGCATGCCGCGCATAATTAAATTAAGTACAGTCTGCTTATTACCAACGAACCTCCGTCTCGGTTTGGTAAACTTACAAGAGGAAGGATCCGTCGAATGCAGCTGTGCACCATTTACCGAGCCAGTTAAATGTGGTAAAGAATCGACCGCGTGAGCACACACAACTGAAATGCACCTTGCCTGTATCGTATGCTCGCGTTCCCTTGCCTGCCACACGTGCTGCCCCAAGATGATGCCCTCATTATCACCATCATTACGAGTTTCTTGTGGCTTCCACTTTTCCCAAGTATTTGTTAGCTACTGAATCGCAGTGTGCTGTCGCGAGCGTGACAAGAGCGAAATGAAGACCATGCAGTCATCATCGATACCTGCGCCACGTTGGAGCTCAGCTGCAGTGGTGACGTCGCAAAAGTGGGAGGTCATCTTCGGGTCACATTAGAAGACGTGACTGTCCTAATGCGAAGAGTATAGTGCTTGCATAGGGTTTCGAACAATAATACCTAAAAAGGAATCTCTCACTGGGATTGTTGTACCTTCATGATAATAAAGGGAAGCACAATCGCTATGCAAGTAATGCATACCGTTCGGAATGAATATCGTTAGCTAGCGAACTGTCTACGGAATCTGTTTCTATTCTTTCATTTCCGTTCTTCGCGCAGCGTGGGCAGTGGGGTACGGTTGGTTAAAGAGGCTGAAGACCATAGGTCTGAGACTTGCTGCCACGTTGGAGATATTTAAGCAAAGCGCCGTCCACTCACCGCTGCGCATAGATGTAGCGTCCCATGCCAGTGCATCATACTGCATCAAATTCACATTTTTTAATAATCGCTTCTCGTGAAAACTCGTTTAAATAGACTGCATAACGACGGTGAAGCAAAGTGAACTCACAGTCGCGCTCCTCTGACTCGAATTCACATCAAAACGAGAGGTGAGTTAGGAGCGGACAACTTGGACAGAGTGCCTAGCATCGCTGCAGACGATACATTGTTTCTCACTAAATACTGTACTCTTATTTTCATAAATAGATAATGCGTACTTTCGAGAAAAAAACAAGAATGCTTGTTTTCAAATGTCGTAGAAATAATAATCATATCTAGGTGCCAAATTCAGAAGAAAATGACTGAGCAATGCATACCTTGCTGGTTAAATTTGTCCAGGTTTCGCTTCTTCCTCAGAGCCACGGAAACATTTTACAGCACAACGTACGTAGAAAAAAAATGAAGCAAATTTAAATTAGGTATATTTTTATACCACTTTTGTTTTACACTCGGCAAACAAACGTCGTGAATATCAAGAATGTAATCCATCCGAAGCAGATCCGAAGCCAGTACTTTCCATATTTTCCATGGGGAATAATGGGACTACAAGCACCGCTGAAGGAGCCCGCGTAGACGCTATAGCACCAGATTCCCCTCGTGGTAATATTGCATGGAACTCTATGAGTGCTTGATACGCAGGCCTCCAAATCCATATAAACTACCTTTATGTGATACTCGCTGTTGAGATGTGGTAGATGACATACGCGTTCACGAAAATTGGTCCCGCTGGCTATCAAAGCCGAGAAAGTTTGTGTAAAGTACCATGTACAGGTAAGAAGTTTGCAGCTAACAAATTTTGAATGATATATTATTCAACTATTTGCTCACAATGTATACGTTTTAATTCTGGTGATTACCCTGTTTAGGCATCCCTTTAGAAAACTTGGATTACTAGTTTGAAGATTACCTTTATGTCCCTGGTATTGTTGTTTTAGGGGCGAAGCTCCTTTGGGCGTGGGTCTGTCACTCCTCCGTATGTATGGTGTAGTACGTGCACCAGTGGCATATACCTGCTCTAGAGCGGGTATGTGCCAAAGGGAATGAGAGATGAGAAATGGCGGAACTTGGAGTGTTCACTAAATCGACGCACGGACGGACGCATGAACGGATGGACAGAGAGACTACCAGACGGACGGACGGATAAACAGACATGCGGACGTACCGACGGATGGACGCACGAATGGTCGGATTCACGGACGGATGTACGGACGCACGGATGGTCGCGCGGACGGACGGAAGCAAGAACGAACGCACAGAAGCAAAGACGGGCTAACGGACGCTTCGTCACCGTCATCATCATTCACTCCATGGATATGCTGTGATTTTTTTATACAATCTCTAGTTTTCACAGTATAGTTAAGCAGTTTTCATGCAACAATATAATCAAGGAATATAAAGTTTAATCAACATTTTAGATAATGAATATTTAATTTATTTGGGCACAATGAAGCCCTAACAGTTTGCTCCGTAAATACCAAAGTGTCTCCGTCAAATCCCATTCACTCTTTCAAATTATAGAATGCCTTTTCTTACCAAGCTTGAACCTAAGTTCTGAACACTCATGCGTTGGCTGAACGTGGTACAAGTGGTCATGTAGTTTCCCAATCACATTCCGGAGCCCCTCAATCAGCCGCCGGAGCTGTTTCTGCATCTCTAGGAGTTGATGTGGAACAATGGATATAAAGTCTACATGAAATGTGAAAATTACAAACACACCAATTCAAACACACAAACACACCAATTGGTGTAAGCAAACATACACCAATTCTATGTAAAACATTTGCATTCCTTACAAAAACGCTGAAAGTGGCATACGTGCTTGCGAAATAGCCTCAGGCATTGGTGGGCTTTATTCTGAGATAGATACGCCAATGCTCAAGTTGCACGGCTTTTTTGCATTCTAGTACTACGCCCTCTTATGCGGCAGGCGTCTTGTTTGCCGAATTGTCCGTCATCCGTTTCTACGATCACACGTCGTTTCGCTCTAGCAGGTGGCCTTGGCGCTGGGTGAGCAGCGCTTACAGTGTCCATATATGGCGTAATTCGCTATGTCGGCCGTATTGTTGTAGTCTTGTGTTGATCACGTTTCTCGTCTAAGAAGTTTTTCACAGGACAACGGGGCTGGGAGCTGGAAGTAACAGAATAATTGAATAAGTAGTCGATTGATGGACAAGCTGCAGGAGACCGAGCCGGATACACAATATTATGAAAAATGCGTACACAGATATTTGGACCCGTAGCCTAAGCGGCTAGTGAATGGTTCAATGCAAACAAAAATTGGAATAATTAGCAGAAAAAATAAACAAAAGTGAAAGTATCGTATATCATCATCATCATCATCATCGTCATGACTACGTTCACTGCAGGACAAAGGCCTCTCCCATGTTCCGCCAGTTAACTCGGTCCTGTGCTTGATGCTGCCACTTTATACACGCAAACTTCGTAATGTCATCTGCCCACCTAACTTTCTGTTCCCCCTCAACCACTTGCATTCTTTTGGAACCCAGTATGCGATGACAAGCGGTTATCCTGCCTATGAGCTACCTAGCCGACACACGTCCATTTCTTTTCGATTTCAACTATGATATCCTTAACCCCTGTTTCTTCCTTGACCCACTTTGCACTTTTCTCGTCTCTTAAGGTTACACCTATCATTTTCCTTTCCATTGCTCGCTGCGTCGCCCTCAATTTAAGCGGAACCCTCTTTGGTTTCTGCTCCTTAGGTAAAAACCAGCGAGATGCAGCTGTTATTATTGTCCTCTTGAGCAATAGTGGCTCAAGAGGACGATAATCTACCTGTCATGATATGAGAATGCTTACCGAATGTGCTCCACCCCATTCTTATTCTTCTAGTTACTTCAATCTCGTGGTTCGGCTACGTGGTTACTACCTGTCCTAAGATGAACTCTTTTACAAATTCAAGTGTACTGCTACCTATCTCAAAGCGCTGTTCTCTTCCGAGATTGTTGTACATGACTTTCGTTTATGGCAGATTAATTTTAAAACCTGTCTTTCTGCTCTCCTGGTCTAATTCATTATTCATGAAGTGCAGTTCGTCCCATGAGTTACTCAGTAATGCAGTGTCATCTGTGAAGCGCTGGTTATTAAGGTACTCTCCATTACCTACTATTCCTAACTTCCCCATTCTAGGCCTCTGAAAACATCCTGTAAGCACGTCGTAAATCGAATTGGGTAAATAATATCGCACATAAGCGACAATTAATATACACATTGAAAGAGCCATAGTGAAAATAGCGATGACATATTTATAGCATATACACAAAATATACACAATACATTTTTAAAGAACGAGTAAAACACAAAATGTCTCGTTCGAAATTAAGTATTGTATGCAAGTAATATCTCAGTTTCTTGCGAGTCTAATCTGAAAAGGCAGATTCTTCTACAGCTTGGCATGAGAAAATTCCAGTAATCTTTGACCGCACACATTCGAACATAAAGGAAGTTTAAGATTACAGATGTTTGCGCGTCTTGCGTTAACTAACAGAAACGTGAAAATGTCACGAGCTATACAGAGACGTTTTTGCGCTTGTTATTTTATTTACTGAACAGGAAATTGTGTAGTGACTTACCCCCGTAAACGGCAGCATACGCTGTCTCTGAAACAGAGTATGAGAGGGATAATGCACCGGGTACGAAGTAAACACGTACAACTCGTTTTTGTAAACGGATTAGCAGAGTAAGGTGCATGGGCCATGAGTGCGTTTTTTGTAACCTACACGAACGACATATCACAATTTATTAACTGCCGCAGACATGGCAGAAGTATTGCAGCGGGGGCCGCCAGATGTTGTTTAAGAAGTGGAAAACCCACTTCCTCGAAGGGTGGTTGTGAAAAAGAGCACAGATAGACAGGGAAATGACTGTGTAGTGTGAGCGGTGTTGCTTGTTAGCGTTCAACTGCAGAAAATATACATAAATAGGATCTTTCAAAATGGAGCGACCACTCATTCTATTCAACGTAGAAGCTTTCTGCCTATAGCTGGTAACGAAGTCAGGTATGTATTAGCTACTTGGCGCTGCAGACTGATAGGTTATTGGCCCATAGTATAGGCGAGTGCGTAGGAGGATCTTATACAAGTTCATCAGACCCTTTTTGTCACTATCCCCTCGTAATGCGTAGCACCACTTTAAGAACATTCATCGCTTTTGTGAAGTTACTTTTTTGCATTGCTTTTACGCACTTGTGGCCAGGACCAGGTTGAGGCCACTGTAAAACAATTCGGATCCGAAATATCTTTTATGTGATTTTCTTATCTTCCTTTGTGCTCAAATCGATTACATATATATCGGATTCGTAGCCTTCCCATTCTTAATTGAATGTTTTTTTTTTCAAAACTGTTTAACATCGATGATCGTTAAAAAGGACGCGGTATTCTTAGCTATTACTCTTGTTAGCTTGTAAGATTGCTCAGCGAGTCGACAATCCCTCCACTGTGAGATGTGCAAAGAGCATGTATTTTAATTTGAGGCATTTGGAGCAATGTCTTCGTATACGCTATGAATGTTGGGGACGCAAAACACTCGTGGCAATCAGGCAGGTCGTTTTCGTTCAAACTCGATTACTTTCGCTTTCGCAAAGAAAAGGAAACACAAATATACAAAGCATAAAAATATAAGCCAAAGGAACCGCTGTGAAGGCGAATGTTTTGTCAAAGTAGACTACATTGGTGCATACATTCAAACATTAGAACTTTCAATCATACGGGCGCAGAGTTTTTCACGCTTCTTGATAACACCGTACGTAAACGCAAGTGATGAACAGTAGGAGCTGCTCACTACGAGAGCGAATAGTCAAGGTCCCAGGGCTGCGACCACTCGTGCATCCAGAGTGTGGCGATCCACTTTGATCCACGCAGCACGGGGCAGGAGCCGTGCGTGGTGCTGTGGTCGATCTGCCGAGCACTCGTCGGCGGGTCTTGCTTCAGGTTGAACCAGAAGAGCGCCGATCCGCGACGAGGCCTGATGGAGAGATCGGCCTTCGGAAAGGCGGTAGAACCACCCTGCTTCACGTCACTCAAGTAAACCAGAAGTGTGGCCAGCCGTTCACCCTGTTCTTGCGCTTTGTCTAAGGGATCAATGTGCTCGCTGTAGTGTCCGCCGGCGGCGTAGTTGAGGACCTGTAGTTTCTCGGCGGATTCCATAGTAAGGCCGGTGAGCACAGCAGCACGCTCGTAAATGCGACGCGCGCTTCCAACGTTTTCGAGCCAGGTGAGGGCCGCTGTCCTGGTATCCGGCTGGTTGTCGCTCCCATTCCCTTCGTTCACCAAAGCGGGTTCCAGCTCGGTAGCTTCCCGACGCAGAGCTGCGCATTCGTCGTGGCTCAAGAAGTCGTGCACAAGCCAGAGTCGGGGCTCTGAGAGGGACAGCTCTTCTACCGCCAAGGGCGACAGAGTAGCTGCGCCGTGCTTTCCGGACGAGAGCCAACAACGCAAACGACCACTGGGCCTAGCGTCGGAGTCGCGACTGTCACGACACAGCATGCCGAAACGTGTATCGCTGGGAAACCCGAAGCGTGGATTTCCCAGAAGGGCCTCTCGGTAAGGCCACATTGCGGGAGTCTCTGGCGGCCGACGTACGACGGCCTGCCAGGATGTGGAATTCGCCTTCGGCGCCGAATATTCCATCTCTGGAAGGTGGTAATAGAAGAAATCGGTGTAGCGTTGGTCCTCTCCAAGTTCGACCCAAGCAGAGGCTGCTGAACGTTCGCTCCGGGAGCAGTGGACGCCCAGCGACAGGGCGTCGCCCGGCGATAACAGATTGCGAAGGATCGGAGAGCACAGTGTCGTGAGGGCGTCCGCAGCCGTCAGGCCGTACGCGTTCTGGAGTCTGCACACATTGGCTGCTGCGCCGTCTACATCATCTTCTGTGGGCCATGCAAGCAGACGATCATTCTCGACTAGCGGACGGGGGCAGCGAATGATTCGAAGAACGTCAGCTGTGAATTGAAGTACCGAGATCCTTAAAAAGTTGAGCAGTACCCGTTCGCTAGAGCGAGCTCTCGATGTAAATGACGGTTCATCGCGGAGATCGAGGTGCTCTGGAGGAGAGATGAGTGCGACGCGTCGCCATGTGTTGCCACAAAGCTCCATGTGACGCTGCAGAGCTGCGACGAGAGCTTTCTCCGTCCGAAGTAAAACCGTCAATCCCGGCATGGATCGAAAATATTCGCTGCACTGGAATAAATCTACGGCCGTCGCCCCCAAGAGGACCAACGAGAGCCACATTTTCTTCTTTGATTCTATTTCTTGCGCTTGCTTGTTTAGGCCGTTCTTGACGGTGCAGCTATATACCCACTGCATGTTACTGTCCATGACTGAGGAAATACATGAAAAAAAGAAGCATCGAGAAAAACATCAGGAAAAAAGAAATCAAGAATAAAATGGCATTTTGTGAACAAATTTAGTGAAAACGTTAGAGAGTTTTTAAACAAAGTAGCTAAATAAAATTTTCACATCGAGCATTATCGCAAATTTTTAAGTGTTTTTATTTAAAAATTTAATGACATGACATGAAATAGCAAGAATTGGACTCAATAGTCCTGAGGAAAATTACGTAGGGAGCGCTAGGGCTCCGAGTTCTGATAGTTATACTTCCACATATAGAAGACCATGTGAGTGCGTGAGGCGCATGTTCTGTTTGTTAGCCTTCTACTAGGGCTCAAACCCACTGAGGGGAGAGGAGGGGGTTCTGCTACTCTCACGTCTTCATTGCATGATTACAAGACTTAAATAAATAGAGAAGATGAAGTTTCCCTTCAAAAGCAAAAGAAAATTGATTGTGGGAAGAAGTGAGGCTAAGAGGCCACAGCTTTAGCTTGGGGCCGGGGATAACTGAAGAAAATGATGACACAAAGAAACGTGGTGACCGCCGCGAGGGATGCGATCGTTGTGCTGTCAATCATTTGAACGCAAGCGTATCGGGGAGGACACAGGTACAAAAGTATGAACCTGCTGCCACTCGTCTCGTTTGTGACGATATGGATTGCACGACCCTAGATGACTTTGCCCAGAAGGCCAAGCCAAGTACACCGTGAATCTAAAATCCATGCACCGTTCTCCCCACTCAATCTTTCCTCCACACGCCTTAGACGCGACGGAGTCAGCCAGCGTGTACCCTCTCCACCTGGGCAGCCATTCTTGGCAACTGATGCACGCTTATTCACGCGCGAAGAACAAACGTTGCGTGGGACGATACTGTTCAATTGGAGTTTCTGCGGGACATGTCCCTCTCATAGACATCGCAATCAGTGGGACAGTAATGATGAGGATGATGATAGTGGCCTGTATGTATGTTCACACCTACTTTGGGGGACTAGCCAAGAAAGGAATAATCTATAAAATAAAGTAATCACACGTAAATTTCATGACTAATCAAATAAAATATAGGTTTAATAAATTAAATATGCTAATTTAGAGACGATGTCAAGACTGCCCTGATTCGCTGAGAAATTTTTCTACCGCGGAATAGGGTCGAGTAGAGTAGACTGGAGTAGAGTAGAGTGGCACACACTTACGCTCTGTTCCCCGAGAGGAAGAGAGATCCCGGTGACAATCGCGAGCTCACTTTGTCTAATTCGTGATTACGGAGATCGCGCGACTATAAGAAAAAGAAAAGTACATTCACCACCTTAGGCTGCGTTCATTGTGTTCTCATCAAGTGGTGTCGTAGTTTTAAATTGCGTAGGTTTTGGTGTTGTTCTATATCCTGCGCTTACTTCCGCTCCGCTAGCAGGAAACCTGAGGTAGTGCATTTCACGCGCAACATAGCGAGTCTCTTGGCAATCGCGCGCCAGTCGAGGTGATGGCGCCCTCTCTCGCCGGATGTTTCAGAAGTGTTTGACGTGATTTGAGCTGAATTATGGCAATTCATTTTTGGTTATTTTTGAAGTTTACATTATTTCTGACCTTGCTAATTTATTTTGCACTGGTTTTGAGCAATCTTAGCCTTGCTTTAGGTCTGTGTTGAACTCTGCATGACCATGCGACGTCATCGTGCAAGTCGGCGTCCTGACTCATGAGTCGACTCCCTCAGACTGAGACCGAGCCGTGAGTCAGGGTGAGTATGGGTGAGAAATAATGTGGCGAGTTTGGGTTCGAAAGAGTCCGGTTGAAGACATTTTACGTGAGTGCGAGTCCGGCTCAGGAAAGAAATTGGCGACTCTGACTCCGTGGAAGCCCTAAGCGTGAAATACAGGACATAAGTGAGTCTGATTGAATTCCACAAGTTTTGCCGACCTATGGACGGCAGAGTGGAAGGAGGACAAGCCGGTCCCCTATAAAGTGCTACACACTAATGCGCCGACTGCGCGGCTAAAGCTGCATCACCACAGCTTGAAGGCGCCGTTTTGCAGCGTTAAGTGGCAATCTACGAGATTGGTGCTACCCAGTCTGACCCATTGGTATTCCACGGGCAAGAGTACGACAAAGCGCGAGCGAGAGGGACAGGACAGGTGCAGGAGAGGCGTGCAAAAAACATATTTTTTTAATGAAGCGTCCGCGGCGTGGTGTACAGCTGTGATATTCGCAAAACAGATGATCGCGCTCTTCTGAACAAATTATAGAGCTTCATTTCTTTTTTGGAGTTCGTATACTGGCCCTTGAAGTTGTTAACACGCAAAAAAACAAACATCTTTTGCACCCAAGTATACAGCGCTTGTACTGACAACAGCGCAACAAAGGACAAGGAACAGAAGCACGCAGATGAGCCCTGAACATACAACTGAAGTTTGTTTCCGAAGCAGGAGAGGATATAATGACAACGACACGTGAACGAAAAAAAAAACCATTGCAAACCAACATTTGCAAAAGACCAAATACAGAAATCGTCCTACGTAACTTACGGTGGTCATGCACGCGGGACAAATAGTGTACTTCTCTTTCCGTCAAAGCGTTGGGCGGGATGCTCACGCAGGTATTGCCAAGTCTACAAATTTCTGCTACCTCATTAGCTCAAGCGTCAGTTGGGAGCCAGATCGCCCCACACTCAGCGCATTTCAGATAGAGGTTTGTATCCAGGAATGCCGCACGTGTTGCAATAAAAAGCCCTCTGTTTATTTGGCGAACATTGTTACCGCATAGGCGCAACCGGTCATTCCCGCATCGGCCTGTCTGACCAATATACTGCTTACCGCATGTCAGCGCGATGCCGTAACCACACCCTCTACACATTCTGCTTAACGGTTTTTGTGCTCCACCTGGTCACCTGGCTCCTTCTGTTTTAGCGATGTGGTTTACACGACGATCCGGGACAGCTTCTGAGGGGCAGAGAATGCCACGCGAACCTGTATGTGTAGGCGATAGTCTTTCTTGGGATACTTGAACGCCAAAATTTCGGTCTATCTGTCTGCGAAAACGAAACAGTTACCCACCCGACCAAATTTTCAAGCACTTGCTGAACGCCCAGCCATCTTGAAATGGTGGCTGCATTCATACTTGTGAATATAGTCGATTGAAAAGCAAATGTGCTATTTTGAGGCACAACATCAATTCGTGAATAGTAGGTGGCGCGTTCCTTTGCAGAAAAATAGATAGCTACGTAATTCGAAAAACCCGAGTGTTTCTTGGGTTGCGCTGAAAATGCGACGATATGCACAGAATAAGCTCGGCAGAAGTCTTTCGAGGACATTTTCAGCGAAGCATGTGGGCACGCTTGCAATAATGTTCGCGTGGTTAAAGTGGTACGTATTGAACAACATGCTGGAGCTAAGCAAGGACAGAGCATAGTATGCGGATTTGGTAACTCAGAAAACTGAAGTTAAAGATCTCTTGTCCGATAACAGAAACGGTGGGACAAGCGAAGCTTGGCGTATGCTTTGATTCACTTTTTACCACGGTAGCGTTAAAGAGCTCGTTTAGCAGAAATTCTGGCGTCGGTGTCGGCATTGTTGGTTGTGAGCGATTTATATCGTCCGTGACCCAAAAATTGAGGAAGATAAATAATAAAAATTTCGGGGTATACGATTGGGTATCAAGCCGTGGCCATCTGCGTGGCAGGCAGGTGTTCTACCATTGACCCCCGCGATTAGTTCAAACTGCTGCGATAAAAATAAACCGTATATGATTGACATGTATTCCAAGGAGTCTCCTCAACACATCATAAATTGCGTGGCAGAAGCATCAAAAGATGTGCATTGAGCAACAAGTGGGTGTTGGTAAAGGCCCACTAATTGCAAAGAATTCGGACATCATTCATGCTCAACTCCATAACTATCAACAAAGTGAACATCTGTGTAGGTTCACGTGTTGCCCGACGGACACGCAGTGGACCCTTCACTGATTTGCAAAAATAATTATGGCGTAATGGGCACTCAACTGTGCTGGCAGTAAGCAACCAATGATACCTTGGAATGGACAATGTTACGCGCACATTTGTTGGTTTCCTTTCGGTGCGGTTGATGCTTGCCCCGAGAGCTGAAGCAGGCTAGCAGTTCGGAAATCGATGCGCACGAGGTCTGACCGCGCTAGCGCGATCTACTCTTCAAGGCGAAGCTCAAGCATCGTCCTATTTTTTTATTGTGCAGTGCGTCCTCCCAACTTTTGCCTTACCCTATGGCTGGATAGACATTCAGCTGAGTGCGTAGCTACGTAACAATTCAGTTGCCAAAATCAACAACGACGGTCACGCGTTCATGTTCAGTCAACAATGAATTGTCGAAACGTGAAATGTGTCACGACAGTCGTACATTTATTACTATGAACAAGTATTCAGACCGTTTTGCTACACATTTGTCCACCACATTCTGCACGATCACCGATGCTCAGAAGAACACGCCCCGGTAGCCACCTCTATGCGACGAAAAGGCTGTCGTTTGGTGCAACAGGCCCTGGAAGAAGCCGTCCTCACTGCTCTGCTTTGATTGGTCTTCACTCGTGAGTGGCTTTCGGTGAGACAGACCCTTGAAGAAGTCGTTGTTCTCACCGTTGTCCTGATGCTGGTGATTGTTGGTGGGTGGCTTTTGGTCTGATAGTCCCTGGAAGAAGTCGTTATCACTAATCTCCTGGGTATGGTCCTCGTTGGTGGGTGGCTTTGGTCTGACAGACCCTGAAAGAAGTCAATCTCACTTTTGCTGAGGCTTTTCTTGGTTGGTGGGTGCCTTTTGGTGTGACATACTCTTGAAGAAGTCGTTCTCACTGTTCTGCAGGGGTTGGTCTTCATCAGTAGGCGGCTTTTGGTCTGACAGACCCTGGAAGAAGTCATTGTTCTCACTGTTCTGCTGGGGCTGGTCTTCATTGGTGGGCGTTTTTTGGTGTGGCAGACATTGGAAGAAGTCGTCGTTCTCACTGTTCTGCTGGATCTGTTCTTCATTGGTGGGCGGCTTTTGGTGTGACAGACCTTGGGTTAAGTCCTCACTCTCACTGCTTGCTGGGGCTGGTCTTCGTTGGTGGGTGGCTTTTGGTGTGACAGACCCTGGGAGAAGTCCTCGTTCTCACAGTTCTGCTGAGGCTCGTCTTCATTGGTGGGCGCTTTTTGGTGTGGCAGGCATTGGAAGAAGTCGTCGTTCTCACTGTTCTGCTGGATCTGTTCTTCGTTGGTGGGCGGCTTTTGGTGTGACAGACCTTGGGTGAAGTCCTCACTCTCACTGCTTGCTGGGGCTGGTCTTCGTTGGTGGGGGGCTTTTGGTGTGACAGATCTTGGGAGAAGTCCTCGTTCTCACAGTTCTGCTGGGGCTGGTCTTCGTTGGTGGGTGGCTTTTGGTGTGACAGACCCGGGAAGAAGTCGTGGTTCTGAATGTTCTGCTGGAGCTGTTCTTCGTTGGTGGGTGGCTTTTAGTATGACAGACCTTGGGAGAAGTACTCGTTCTCACTGTTCTGCTGGGGCTGGTCTTCGTTGGTGGGTGGCTTTTGGTGTGACAGACCCGGGAAGAAGTCGTGGTTGTGACTGTTCTGCTTGAGCTGTTCTTCGTTGGTGGGTGGCTTTTGGTGTGACAGACCTTGGGTGAAGTCCTCGCTCTCACTGCTTGCTGGGGCTGGTCTTCGTTGGTGGGTGGATTTTGGTGTGACAAACCTTGGGAGAAGTCCTCGTTCTCACTGTTCGGCTGGGACTGATCTGCGTTGGTGGGTGGCTTTTGGTGTGACAGACTCGAGAAGAAGTCGTGGTTCTGACTGTTCTGCTGGAGCTGTTCTTCGTTGGTGGGTGGCTTTTGGTGTGACAGACCTTGGGAGACATCCTCACTCTCACTGTTCTGCTGGGGCTTGTCTTCGTTGCTGGGTGGCTTTTTGTGGGACAGACCCGGGAAGAAGTCGTGGTTCTGACTGTTCTGCTGGAGCTGTTATTCGTTGGTGGGTGGCTTTTGATGTGACAGACCTTGGGAGAAGCCCTCGTTCTCACTGTTCTGCTGGGGCTGGTCTTCATTGGTGGGTGGCTTTTGGTGTGACAGACCCTGGGGGAAGTCCTCGCAGTTTGCTGTTCTGCTGGGGCTTGTCTTCGCTGCTGGGTGGCTTTTGGTGGGACAGACCCGGGAAGAAGTCGTGGTTCTGACTGTTCTGCTGGAGATGTTCTTCGTTGGTGGGTGGCTTTTGGTGTGACAGACCCTGGAAGAAGTCATCATTCTCACTGTTCTGCTGGAGCTCTTCTTCGTTGGTGGGTGGCTTTTGGTATGACAGACCTCGGGTGTCTCACTGTTCTGCTGGGGATATTCCTCGTTGGTGGGTGGCTTTTGGTGTGACAGACCTTAAGAGAAGTCCTCGTTCTCACTGCTCTGCTGGGGCTGCTCTTCGTTGGTGGGTGGCTTTTGGTCTTACAGGCCCAGGAATAAGTCGTTCCCAATGTTTTGGTGGGGCTGGTCTTCGTTGGTGGGCTGCTTTCGGTTGGACAGACACTGAAAGAAGTCGTTCTTCTCAATATTCTGCTGGGGATGGTCTTCGTTGGTGGGTGCCTTTTGGTGTGACAGAGTCTGGAAGAAGTCATCGTTATCACTGTTCTGCTGGAGCTGTTCTTCATTGGTGGGCGGCTTTTCGTGTGACAGACCCTGGAAGAGATCGTTCTCACTGTTTTTCTGGGGCTGGTTTTCGTTGGTGGGCGGCTTTTAATGTGGCAGACCTTGGGAGAAGTCCTCGCTCTCACTGTTTTGCTGGGGCTGGTCTTTGTTGGTGGGCTTCTTTTGGTGTAACAGACCCTGGAAGAAGTCTTTGTTCTCACTGTTATGCTGGGGCTGGTCTTCGTTGGTGGGCGGCTTTGGTCTGACCGACCCTGAAGAAAGTCGTTCTCACCATTTTGGTGGGACTAGTCTTCATTTGTGGGCTGCTTTTGGTCGGACAGACCCCGGAAGAATTCATTCTCACTGTTTTGCTGGGGCTAGTCTTCGTTGGTGGGCGGCTCTTGTTCAGGCAGTGATGGGCCTTGCTGAATGCTTCGCCGTGACCCGTGATAGCGTCTGGCCCTCCAAAATCCCCTTTGTGTCTTTGGCCGCCACGATGATTGAACCCCCTTGGTATTGTTGTTAGCCTGCACAGGAGGTAGTGAACGAAGTTAGAAGGGTTGTAGCACAAAGATCATAAATGGCGCTCAAATAGAGAACTGAAAGGGTACGAGTTCGCTATGATAGCCTTCGAGCTTAGCCCCACTGTGAATGCAGTTACAGCATTGTCGATGTGGCCTTTAGTGCTGAGCTTTTTCGCAAGGGTATGAAGACAAAGCTGATAAGCATCCTTCGTGAACTTACTTACAGCGCAACACCAGAAAAAATACAGGACACGGAAGGAGCAAAAGAGAAAGAAAAAGACGGCGCGGACTCACAACTGTTGTTTATTGAAAAAAAAAAAACGTGGTGAAAAGTATATATATAGGTACCAGTATTTTTTTCTGGTGTTGCGCTGTAAGTAAGTTCACGATGGATCCTAACGAACTGGCCCAACTTACCGTCTTACTGATAAGCATCTCAAGAATTTGAGAGTCAGTATGACGCGTCAGTTTCAGATGTGTTTATATATTGAATGTAAGGGAAATATGAGACGAAGACGGTCAAAAGGAACGAACATCTCTGACTAAAAACTGAAATCTTCATTAAGAAGGGAATAGATATAGATACCCGTACTTCAAATTTACACCGGTGCTATAAAATAGAGAAGCATGATATAACTGTTACACAGATATCATTCCGCCTCATCAAAGTGTTGAGATAGTTATGATATAGTAATACAGTACGAAAACTCACAGACGAGGAGCTAGCTCATGACGCACTGTTTTTTGAGACTTTCGCTGCTCGAAATATTTGGCGTGGAGAGGGCCAGAGCGTTGTTCTTGATTTCAACTGTACTCTTAAAATTTTTATTTAAGTTCCTTACAAGCCTCTTCGGCGTTGTGTAAGGGGGCTATTTTAAACATCAATGGGCAAAAAAAATCACAGAATATCCACAGAGTGAATGATGATGAGTGTGGCGAAGCGTCCATCAGCCCGTCCGTGTTTCCGTCCGTCCACGTGACCATCCGTGCGTCAATACATGCGTCCGTCCATCTGTCCATGGTGAGTCCGTCCATCCGCCTGTCTGTCCGTTCGTGCGTTCATCTGTGCGTCCGTCCGAGCGTCCATCTAGTGAACAAGTACCGCCATCTTCCATCTCGCAACCCTTGTGGCACATACCCGCTCTAAAGCGGGTATGTGCCACCGGTGGCTACATACATACATACATACATACATACATACATACATACATACATACATACATACATACATACATACATACATACATACATACATACATACATACGGAGGAGCGACAGACCCACGCCATAAGGGGCTTCGCCCCTAAAATAGAGAGAGAGAGAGAGAAAATTTAATGCGGAAAGGCAGGGAGGTTAACCAGAAAACATATCCGGTTTGCTACCCTGCACTGGGGAAGGGGTAAGGGGAGACAAGAAAAAAAAAAGGGGAAAGGGAGGAAGAGAAGCACAAACACACACACACACACTCGCACACAGTAGTGTCACAATCGTTCAACGAGGCGGGTCGCTCGCAGAAACTTCATCAGCGCCTTCGTTGCTTTCTGGCGTGAAGCTCGATCTTTCCGACATTCCAAGATTGACTGTTCAGAAAATGGCTGGTCGTCGAGGCGAGCAAACACTGCTGAGAGGGACTGTCGCTGAGAGCTGTACTGGGGGCACTGACATAAAATATGTTCAATTGTTTCGTCATTGTCGCAATGGTCGCATGTAGCGCTGTCTCTCATTCCGATGCGGCAGGTAAAAGCGTTCGTGAAAGACACCCCAAGCCACATACGGCAGAGAAGGGTCGTCTCGGATCGGGGTAGGCCAGATGGAATAGTAAGTCGTAGGTATGGGTCCAGGCGGTGAAGACGGGTGTGGAGAAAACCGGGCGTATTCCACATAGACCTTGCGACATCCTGCGCAAGCGTATTAATCTTTGCTGCTGCGTCGCTTCTTGATAGTGGAATAGGTTCCATCACTCCATTTTTGTGTGCATTCTTAGCTGCATTGTCGGCATGTTCGTTACCGATGATGCCGCAATGGCCTGGTAACCACTGAAAAGATATGTCATGTCCTTCGTCTTTTAGGTGATGGTACAGTTGTCGAATTTCGAGCGCCAATTGGTCTTGAGGTCCACGACGTAGAGCATTTTGTAGACATTGGAGAGCTGGTTTCGAATCAGTAAAAATGCTCCATTTTTGTGGTGTCTCTTGGTCAATCCTGCGGAGTGCGCTGCGGAGTGCCGCGAGCTCCACGGCTGTCGATGTCGTCTTGTGCGACGTTCTGAACTGGATGGTTTCGGCTCTTGCTGGGAAGATCACAGCTCCTGCAGATCCTCCAACAGTTGTCGAGCCATCCGTGTAAAGTTTGACATGATCTTTGTATTCTTCGTGTAGCATGAGTAGAATCATCTGCTTTAAAGCTGGCGCCGAGAGCTCCGCCTTCTTGTGAATCCCCGGCACTGTCAAGCGCAGTTTTGGTCGGTCCAAGCACCAAGGAGGTGTTAGTATCCGTTCCGGAGGCGTGTAGACTGTTGGAAGGCACTCACGGAAAGTCAATACTCTCTTACAGAAGGAGGCACTCGGTCGATCTTCTGGAAGCGAAGCTAGGTGGTGGGCAGGGGCGCGAGCAAGGTGTCTAATATGAGCTCTAAGCACCTCCAAGTAATGTGCACTGTGGCCGGATGATCTTTGGCGATTGCGATGGTTTCCGCTGTTGATGTACAGCGTGGTAATCCAAGACAAACTCTGAGTGCCTGGCCCTGGGCGTTTTCTATTGTGCGTATATTGCTTTTGCAAGCGTTCGTCAGAACCGGCAAGCTATACCGCAGGTACCCCAGAAACAGCGTTTTGTACAAATGCAACATCGCGTGCACTGATGTGCCCCACGTTTTGCCTCCGAGGAACTTGAAAAGTTGTGCGATGGCCGTTAGGCGCTTCTTTAGAGTGGCCACATGGGGACTCCAGCAGAGATTTCGATCGATCGTGACCCCCAAAAACCTGTGGGTCCTGGCGTAGCAGACACTGTGTCCATCGATGGTGATGGGATATGACGTCATTGCCTTCCGCGTGAACGCGACCAGCGCCGATTTCTCAGGAGAAATCTCGAGGCCTTGTTCTCTAAGGTACGCCGATATTGAATTCGCTGCTTTCTGGAGTCTCGCACGTACCTGAGGACGTGTTACACCTGATGTCCAGGCACAAATATTATCTGCATAGAGAGATATCTGCACGGAATCTGGTATGCGTTCAACGAGACCGATCAGAACCAGGTTGAACAGTGTGGGGCTCAATACACCACCTTGAGGAACACCACGGTGTGTATAATGTTCAGAAGTCGGCCCATCATCAGTTTGCATAAACAATGATCTCATATGTAGGTAGCATTGGATCCAGCGGTACACTCGCCCACCCAAACCAACTGACTCGAGGGCGTCAAGTATGGCTTCGTGAGAAACATTGTCATATGCTCCTTTGACATCTAAAAATAGTGCGACAGATAACCGTCTGCTCATTTTCTGGTGTTGTACGTAGGTCACCAGGTCAATGACATTGTCAATGGAGCTCCGAAGACGACGAAAACCGGCCATGGCGTCTGGATATATTCTATGGCGTTCTAGGAACCACTCGAGTCTGGCAAGGATCATTCGCTCCATCAGCTTCCCTACGCAACTAGCCAGCGCTATTGGGCGGTATGATGTCAGCTCTAGAGGCGATTTTCCAGGTTTGAGAAGTGCAACCAGCCGGCTTGTTTTCCACTCTCTGGGGACCGTTCCATCTCTCCAAGACTCATTGAATACTTCCAGCAAAGCACTTCGTGCTCGATCACCGAGATTGCATAATAGGCGGTATGATATGCCATCCGGTCCAGGCGATGACGATCGATTGCATGAAGCAAGAGCCACATTCAGTTCTTCCATTGAAAAAGGC